TCTACCCCCAGGTGCACACACACACACACACACACACACACACACACACACACACACACACACACACACACACACACACACACACACATCCCGGCCTATCAGAGCATGTATTAAAGTCTAAAGTTATTTATTTATTTATTTTAAATGTATTTATTTATTTGATTATTTTTATTTATTTTAAATTAACTAATTAATTAATTAATGAATTGATTTAAAAAAGTATTTATTTATTCATTTTTATTTATTATTTATTTTTATTATTCTTTTTTTTTCCCGGCCTATCAGAGCATGTGTTAAAGTTTAAAGTTATTTATCTACTTACTTAGTTGTCAGACTCATGTTGAACAGGGATTTACTATGATAACAACTTAATGGTTAGCACACAGACCTGTGGGTTAGGAGATGCTAATGCTAATGCTAATGCTCATGTGGGATCGGACTTAAAACAAAACTGGATCTGGATGTTAAAATATTGGTATGTTGGTTTAAATATTCCCATCAGAATACACTGTAATTCCTATAATTCGTTCCAAAAACCTACGATAACTCCTTAATAAATACGGCAGATAATTACACATAGCAATAAAACAAATAACTTGTAGAAGAGATATGGAAAAATAAATAAATGAGAAAAAAATTAATCAATAAAAAGGGTTTTTATTGGCCCGTTCTAGCTTTTTTCCCTCTCAGAGCATGTATTAAAGTTTAAAGTTATTTATCTACTTACTTAGTTGTCGGACTCATGTTGAACAGGGATTTACTCTGATAACAACTTAATGGTTAGGACACAGACCTGTGGGTTACAGATGCTAATGCTAATGCTAATGCTCGTGTGGGATCGGACTTAAAGAAAAAAACTGGATCTGGAGTCTGTATCTGTATTTTCTCCTGCCGGCCGATATGCATATTTTTGCAAATATCCAGATATCGGATCGGGTGTGTGAGCCTACTGTTCACACACCGTTAGCTGTTTGTTAATAAATTTGTTGGATAACACTCGTGTTTCTGTTTGCAGATCCTGAACCCTCCTCCTTCTCCCGCCACCGACCGCTCGCTCTACAACACGGAGATCTTCTACTCCTCCAACAGCCCGTCCACCACCAGATCCTACAGGTCACTCCTCACTCTTCTTTTTGTCTCTATTTGACACGGTTTTTCTTGGATCAGGAGTTTCAGCTCCTGGTGTCTCACATGGTGTCGTACATACAGAGCAGACATTAACCCGTCACCACCTCCAGATCCACATCGTCTGGTCGGAGGAAATTCCTAATTTTAGTCCATTTCATTGCAAAGAAACATGAAAATATTTAGGTGTAAATCAAAAGAAGGTGCCAAAAGGAGGAAAAGGTGCATGAGTTATATACATCGCATCATATATATATACGTATATGCACATATATAGTGGATCGGGGGAAAAAAGAAGAGATTTAAGGTGACTTATATACATTTATAAATGTTATTTGCTCAGTAGAATTTGCACAAGTTAATTAAACTGGATCTGGAGTCTGTTGAGATGAGATGAGATACGATACGATATGATAAGTAGAAGATAAGATAAGATACGATACGATACGATACGATACGATACGATACGATAAGATAAGATACGATAAGATACGATAAGATACGATAAGATACGATACGATACGATACGATACGATACGATACGATA